ACCCGTTTGTTTACTTTTGCTTACTTGTGTTCTTACAGGTTGTGTTTTATTTTATGTTCCTTATCAAAAGAATGTATATATTTTTTAAAAAGACTCAGTATTACATTACATGATCAAAGGTGTAAAAAAAAACAGAATGGATCATCCCTACCAGAGGCTATTGCTTCATCATATAATGTAACCTGACACAAGATGTGAGTTGGGGTTGAGGTGCCTGAGAAGCGATCTCAAGACTGCACTGAAGATTCCTGACGGTGTTGTGAGCCACTCCCTCTGTTCAATCATGGTTGTTCACACACACTCACACAGATGGACACAAAGGATCCTCTAGGTGCACCTAAAGGATAAAAGGTCACTCTTTTGAGGATACCATGCTGTGCCATGCTGTCACATTTTGAACAGACAAGACAGATTTATTGAAAGAGGGTTAAAAGAGGACTGCAGGCAGGAAAGTGCAAGAGCCATGGTGTTGGAATAGATGAAATATACAGTTTAACCTTGTTTCGGCTGAAATATGCAAGACACAGTTGAAAGCAATCGACTTTTCTTGAAAAAGAAGTCGTCTTGATGTTAGCATACAGTGCTGGGATAAAGTATCATCACAGCCCTATTCCGATTCTTTTTTAAAATATGTCACACAACTGGTTATGACACCCTTGGCAGGTTGAGCTTTAACAGAGTCTTTCACATAATTTTGGAAAGATGTTGGCACACTTTTCTTTGTAGCATATTTTTAATTCAGCTACAATGGAGGCCTTTCCAATGTGAATCACTCAAAAGAGGACTGGCTGGTGGAATCATCATCCCCTCAAAACCCAAGTGACATGAACATGAACTGGACATGAACCGGTGGCTGGACAGTCTCCTTTAGGGTTTTCTGGTAGAGCAGCAGAATTCCATCATCATTTAAGTTTTCCAGTTTTTTGTCTGAAGCAGCAAAGCAGCTCCAGACCATCACACTACTGCCACCATATTTACCTGTTGATACAATGTATATACTATGAAATTCTGGGTTCCAGAACGGGAATCAAACCTTACAAAGAGTTCAATTTTTGTTTCATAAGTTCAAAGGATAGTTTCCAAAAGACTTTTGGGGATCATGAAGATGTTCTTTGGTAAATTTACTGGTGGTGGTCAGAGGGCCCGGTGGCGCCAGTGTCCGGCAGCCCCGCCTCTGTCAGTGCGCCCCAGGGCAGCTGTGCCTACAATGTAGCTTGCCATTGCCAGTGTGTGAATGTGTGTGTGAATGGGTGAATGACTGAATGTAGTGTAAAGTGCTTTGGGGTCCTTAGGGACTGAGTAAAGCGCTATACAAATGCAGGCCATTTACCATTTACCATAAATGTGGGTTCTGATTGGTCAGCAGTATAATTGTCGCCGGAAGAACATATCCAACATAAGCATAACCTAATGGAACTTCTCATAGTTTTTCATCCAATTGAAGTGATGGACAGCTTTTATTATGCAGAACATGTGCACTAGTATAATTAACCCTTTAAGACCTACCATAGAACCAAGTCCGCCAGAGCTTATATTATATTTTTACATGTTGTAGTGCCATTTTTGGGAGCATTTCAAGTTGATATACATCAATACAACCATTATAGCCCAAATTTTAATAATATGTATGCATTAAGTGCATAGTAATTACATAAATTGCAAAAAAGTGCAATAAACTACAAAAAATTGAAAATCATTTTTGTTTTTTTAACATATATTTCTAGTTAGAGAAATTTAAGAGGCTTATCCCGCAAAACTGTAAATACAAAAAAGTTGCACAAACTAGTTTCCCACTACGGGAAATTTATTTTAAATGTCTTCATAGTTTTATTTTTGAAATACACCAATTTTCATATACTGCAGGAAAAACGAAAATAAATATTATAATGCAAATTTGCAAAAAAACAGCATATGCATCAAAATAAACTATTTCCAGCAGTGCAATATGAGTCCTAAGCATCCCAGAAATGACACAGAAAGTCATAAAGTCAAACATAACTTTTAAAAACACAAGTATAGGCTCATAAGGCCCCAATGGTAAAAAACTACATTTCCGCAAAATGACGTCACGCCCGGTTTCAGGAAGGTCATGGCGGACATGCGATAGTTCACGCTGATGGACGTAGGAAGTGTTATGAACAGCTGATCGGATTGTTTTTGTTGCTGCAAGTGCTTTTTATGCAGTTTTTGCAAAGCTGTATGTGGAAGGAAACTGTGACCTAGGACAAGCTGATGGCATAAGATGTAAGTACAACTCCTCCGGTTTCATATGCAAAAAAAAATTTTTGCGCTAGCTTACGTGGTTGCAGTGCTACCGGGATTTAAAAATAGGCAAAATGGAGCGTGCCCGCTCCGACCAGCTTTAAAGGGTTAACTAAATCAGGCTTGATAAGCTCTGTTTTTCTGTCTACTGAAACAAATGAACACAAACGTTCTGACTGTGTGTACCAGCAGAGGACAAGAGTCTGATTATTCTCACTGTGCTGCATCACTGTAGCTTCTCTGGGAAAATAAAAAGTGTCCACTCAGCATGTACAGACTGAAGTAAAGACGCCTCCCTCCTTGGTTTTTCCACCCACTCCTTTTCATTGCTTGCACTTACAAGCCCCCTCTGCAAGCTCTTTATCCTCATCATCCTTCACATCTACTTATTGACCCCTTCATCATCCCCTTTCTCTCCATCTAACAAGCTGCCCATCAAACAAGGTAACTTTCCCTCTTCAACCCCTTTTCTCTCTTTTCGTCAACAGCTGCACTAAAAGAGTCTCTCAGCTGTGCCTCTCCAGCCAAACTGAATGACTCATTACCTGGATTGTGGCATTCCCTTCACCCTCTCTGTCTCTCTCTTTCGCTGTCTTTCTCTCGTCTGCGTCTCTCTCTCTCCCTCTTCTGTCACAGTTCAGCAGCTGTAACTTGTCAGTGCCAACCCCGGCCATCACTCTTTAACGTCTCTCTACAGCAGGCCATCCCTCTGTCTGTCCTCACTCATTCTCCCAGCTTCATTTCACACATTCTCCTCTTCTATCTTTCTCCAATTGTTTCATTCCCGTCTTTCCCAGCTCTGTACTTTCTTTCTCTTTCTGTCTTACCATGGCAGCATTCAGCACTATCTCAGCACACAGAGACTAGTCTGTGGAGGAAACAAAAACAAAATATGGAACGAGGAAGGAAGGGAGAGAAGTGAGAATAGGAAATCAGCGAGGAAGACTTCTGTTGGCTTGATTTCAGCCCAGCGAATTGGTTTATGCAGCAGACTTCCCAGCATTGCCTGGTTCACTCAGCATTCACTGAGTGTGTAGGCATGTGTGTGTCTGCGTGTGTGTGTGTTTAGGTGTGTGCAGTTAACTGTGAAAGAGGCCAGAGTGTCTGCGTGGTTGAGGTTCTGAACTAAATCTTCACAATTGCCATTGCGAAGAGCCGGTCTCTCTCTGTGTGTTTGAGAGCGAGAAAAAAAGATTATATGTATATATATATATATATATATATATATATATATATGGAGAGAGAGAGAGAGAGAGAGAGAGAAAGAGAGAGAGAGAGAGAAAGAGTGTGTCTGTGTGTATGTTTGAGTGGGAATTTAGCCAAAAGAGTATAAGAAAGATCTGCAGAGACAAAGCTGAAGTGGGAGAAAAGGGAAAGCAGATGAAAAAAGAGAAGATAATCAGAATTGGAGTTAATTGAGGGAGAAGTAAAAGGCTGCAAGCAGCTTAATGCAATTTATAGGTTCAGACGAAGCGGATGCTCGAAAAAAAACATGTTTAGAGAGGCTGAAAATAGTAAGTTGTACACCCAAATGACCAGCAGAAAAAAAGGAAAAAGCTTTGATTCGAGCAGGAGCTGTCAGTGTCATGTGCTTCGCTTAACTACACCCCCTCCAGGCCACACAAGGACAATCTGAGCGTGTGTTGTTGGTCTACCACATTCGTGCAACATCTTCCCTTCTGTTTTAGTCTCTTGTAGCGGTCTTTGTGATTATATAATATGTAATAAAGCAGAAATATAAACTACAAATGATGTTTTTCCTTCTAAATAAAGACAGCTGGCCTGCACTTCAGGGTTGAAAGCCTTGGAACCTGACACTGCTCTTGATTTCAAATAGAATTTTGACTGTCAAATCGCAGATGTTTGCTCATTATCAATTCTGACTGCAACACCAAAGAAGCTTTGAGCGTTTCAGAAAGACAGCTTGTTAGGAAATGAGCTGGATTTTCTCTGGAAACAAATGGAATTTTAAATAATATGTGGTCTCTTTAATAGCCACAAAGACCTTCACTAGATTGCCTGGTAGATATGCTGCACTAGAGGAATCTATTCACTGCACATCTGGCTCCAAATATATGATTTCTGTCAGGACCACTTTAAACAAACTAGAACTGTCTGCAGAAATTTGTATTTAGTGGTGTGGCTCTGTTTGGGGACCTCCTCGCCAATCCAAGGCAGAGACATTGAATGACTAAGGTGAGGAGAGCAGCAACTAGAATGCAGCACAGAGCATATGGCAGATATGAGACTGATTAGGTCATTTACAGTATATAGTTGAAAAGGTCTGTGTCATGGCCCAGCGGCACGAGGGAACAGAGATGGACACAGGTGCAGAAACCAACCCGGAAGCGAGACGATAAGGGAACAAAGGATTTATTTCCGCCCGCAGGCAAACACAAGCAAAAAGAAAAATGACGCCACCACACTAGTGACGCGTAGGATAACGGAGGGTAACCTAGACACCTCTAGGAGACGGCTGAACAGCAGAGGCAGCGGGGAGGTGGAAACAGGACTAGGTAGGGGCCGGGGCACTGGAATAATTGGAGATCACGATCAGTGGGATCCAGCAGACAATCAACGATCCTCCACAGTTGAATTGAGTTGCCTTACTTGGTTTCAGGTGGAGGTGACAGGTGGGGCGGAAGGCCCGGAAGCGGTCGAGGCGTGGGGAGGCAGGCAAGTGAGTGGTGGGCCGGCAGGCCACGTCGTATCAGCAGCAAGCGGCCCAGGTCCAGGAAGGCGGGAGTGAGGGAGACAAGACCTCCACTCCAGATGCTACCTCTGAGAACAAGAAGAACAAGTAAGTCATCACACGGATTCTGGACAGAGTTATGATGCTCCACTTGACTAACATGGGGATAGCAGATACTCAGGCGATGAATGGTTGAGAGCGCAGGTCTGATATACTGCCGGAATAATTGCTCACAGGTGGTCAGCCAGGGAGGAGCAACCGAACTCCGCCTAAAGGAGGAGGGGCCGCTGTTGGAGACCTGCAGGTACCTACCCAGACCATGACAGTCTGTTGCCAAACAGCTTGCAAAGGCAGCAGCAACTGTATACAGGCCAAAACAGTATGAATAGCATTTACCAATAGGACTCAAAGAACAATACCAGGTGGCTTTTCAGATGACACGGGCTGGTACTGAGATCAGTTGATCTGCCAGGACTGCTGCCTAAACGTTGTTCAATGGCCTGCCAGCATTAATTCTATGGCTTAGTTTGTACAATATGTGTCCAGTGTGATATTTTCTCTCTTCAACAACCCAAACCCCCCAAATATGTGATGCTGCACTAAGAAACCCCTCGCTGTTGAAGGAAGCCAACCTGAAGGTGCTTTTTGTTAATTTCAGACCTTTTTTAGAAGATATTATTATTTGCACATTTATTTTCTACTAATTATAAAATTGACATGCATTTAATTTACAGTCTAAGCAACGGCATCCTTACTGCCAATAGGTATCAAAATGTCCTTTGACCCATTGTCAGACCCTACACTGGTGCAGTGGGTGCTGTGTTCCTCCTGGTGCAACTTGCACCTCAGACTTTATTGGGGCTCTGTAGATCTACTGGTCAATGATATCACAGCTAAAAACTTGTTTTGTGAATCTTCATATAACATCAAGATTTTTACAACTGAATAATGATTTACATTTTCATACTAGGTGGGAGCGTCATGTGTAACTCATGGGGAAAATGATGTCAGGAACCTGAAGGTTAAACAGGAGACACTGCTCATCAAAGTCTAGCTCTTCAAATCTGAGTAGGAAAGAACTTGCAATAACAACACCTACTCTAAATGTGCCTTTGTGCAGGCTTCTCAGCTCATTATTCCAGTTATTCCAGCAGAGCAACAGGGAGCTGCTGGATAGCTCCCAGTAGGATCAAAGGGCTTTTAAAGGAATGCTACAAACACTAACAATGGCCGTTTCCATGGATAAATAAAGGCAGATGATGTTTAAGAGTAGACTTTATGTTACAAGTCTCGTGAAAAACTGAGAAACAAAAATCAATTCCAAAGAAAATGAAAGAGCGACTGTGTGATGCAAATCATGGTAATTAAGTTGTGGAAAAGCTGCTTTAAACAAAGCTGAAAAGCTCCACTTGCACAAAATTAAGGCAAGAGAACGTCACTCAATGTTCATCTAAAATGTAGCGAGGGATTTCCCATGTAGCTGATAAGCTGTCTTCCATAAAACAGCTTTCCAGAGAATGACTGAAATTTAAATCAGTTTTCTCAAGAAAGACAAGATTTATGCAGCGTGTGCATGGGCACACTTTTTTGCCACTACATTCACATAACTGACAGTATCATAATTCACACCTGCATCACACAACTCAATTCTGTTGTGTTAGTACCAGGGGATTCATGCCCATTAAAGTGTGTTTGTGTGAGTGTGTGTCTTTGTGGATGTTTGAAAATGAAAAATGGAGTGTGAAAGAAACAGAGAGAGATTAAGATGACAAATTCCACGGTAGAAAAAAGGATTTGATTGCATGTGAGCCGAGTGCCAAGCTGTGAATTAGCCACTGAGGAAGTGACGCAGGTATTTGTGTCAAGTAGAATTACACACATTCACAAAGGTGAATTTCAGGGAAATGTTTAGCACATACACACACGATATTACTCACATGAACAGATATGGATCAGATATCATACAAAAAGAAGAGGAGAGAAGCTGTGAGGTGAATGTTAAAGTAACAAATTACTGATAGGACAGACAGCGTGCTTCTATGCCTTCTATGAAGTATTACTATAATACCCACATAGCAAAATTGGTATGGATCGGATCTGGCCCACACAATGTGCTTACACATGGCCCACATACCGCAGAGAATGATGGCCCTTTGGTGGCCCAGATCTGGTTTGCCAGAGGTGACCCACACATGGGCCAGCACAAGACCAGTTGCAGACACATTGCTGGCCCTCTGCTGGCCCAGAACACTTTCAGCTCTGGACCCAGATGTCAGCCTAATCCATACCTTAATCAAGCCATGTAATAACAACATGTGCATTATCTGGGCCAGACCTGCTTGCTATGTGGGTATATGCACTTATGATCTGTAACTTTCCCCATACATCAGGCTTGGTGATAAATAAACAGAGGCCAGGACAGACAATAGAGTGAATACTTAACACAATGAACACAGAACTGTATTGTCAGATTCACCGTGGAATAACATCTGGGTTTGGAAACAGCTTCATTTTTTAGCGATGATTCCACACATGCTCCTAATACAGTGTAAGGAAGGATGGGATCAACTTTTCAGAGACAATCACTGATTGTGGTTTGCATACTGTGTTTTTGCATGTTTCATGAAATCATTGCATCCCTTTCTATTTTCCCAGCAAAAATGAAACAAATGGCTCCAGTAGTGTACCATGATGTTGTTGATGGTTAAATTCAATATATTCAAATGTGTCAAAAAGGGGCATAAAACATGTATTTATGTTCACTGAGCTTTGATTGACAATGACTTTGACTGTTACTCACACTCGGTTAGACCCAGCCCTCAGGGCTTAGCGGTAGGGCTAACCTAGACCTCAGAGGGTTGTGGAAAGATGGACTCCAAGAACTTACTGAGCTCTAACAGACAAGAGCTCGGTATTTCAGATGTGCAGTTCCAAGCTAAACAGATGTCATAAGACATCCAGCAACTGAAGACTGCACACTTTTGTGCATTTTGACAGATTTCAAGTAGGAGATAAAGTAGTAACACAATAGTGAAATGAATCAGAGACTATTCCAAAAACAAACAATTCCATCTCTGCGTATTGGACACACGATCATCACTGCATTAAGAAAAATGGCTTGGACCTTTAACTAAACATTGGCCTGCATCTCGCTGTGCACGCATTCTCAATATAATACATGCAGTGACAGCTTTACATAAATCTTCAGTTAGGAATAAATAAAAGACGCATAATAACTTGTCAGGATGGAGGTATCCTGCAGGAAGCCATCTTAATGCTTTACGCCTTAGGCTGTGTTTTAAAGCTTTTACCTGAGAAAGCGTCTTCAAAGCAGTGACTCCTTCAGAACAGTAAAAACAAACAACTCCTTTTATAAAAACGTCTCTGTCATTTTTTGTGGAGTTTTACTATTCCAACTCTGCCTAATTTTAAATAAAGCTTACTGATGCTACAATACATCCTTTTTCATCATACTGGTACTAGCCTGCTTCCTTACTGAATGTGTTATGCCTGGAAACGTCCTAAATTGGTGGTAGCCTATGTTTTATCTTTGACAGCTAAAATCTGGTTTTGGGTCAGAAACCTATGCACAGGGAAGGGTTTAAGTTGTAACCCAGAGCTACCAGGTTATAGCAACAGCACAAACCAATCTGATTAGGTGAGAAATATGGCCACAGTTAAATGAAAGACTTGACAAAGTGATTGGCTCGGTAGAAGTGGCATGTTTTAATTGCTTTTCTTGACTTTAACTGTTGGTCATGGACATCTTTATGAGCTCTTTGCAAAGAGTTGAAGACAACTGGAAGGTTTCTTCAGTAATGAAAAGTTCTATTAGTTTGTTAAACAAAAACAAAAAACAAAAAAACTGTTTAATAATCAATGTGCCATTAACACACATGTATGCAGCCCTGCACAGCACAGTGGGGCTAATTACTGCCTAATGTTTCCATGCAACAAACAAGGAGGTGCACTCATTTGAAAGATGAGAGGAAGGTGGATGTTTATTTTAACAAGTGCGAACACACATGCTGTTATTCAAATTATTACTAGCCCACAAACACACGCCGCCACCATGTTCATTATTCAGTTATTCAAACACACACACACGGAGAAATGTCTGAAAGGTGCCGAATACATTGTTTTAAAAGTTGAGATTACACAAAGACTCAAACACACTGTAGCTTCAGGCATATGTAGGAGTGTTTACTTTGCTGAAAAGCAAATATCCCCCGAATTACCTGATTCTGTAGCACTAAGTGCTATGTTATGTTATATGTAAGAGTGTGAGGCCTCACTAGCAGTCTCTGTACTGAGCTACTGATGTAATATTTATTTTTAAAAAACTGCAACAGAAAAAGAACTGTGTTTTAAATGTTTACCTAAATAATAACATTAAGAGGGAAACACAGGAAAGCTACATGATTATCTATCACTGCAAAAAAAATTCAGAATTTTGATAATCTCACAAGATCTACAAATTTAACAGTTTCACTAAATATTTTCTTTTAAAACTTTACTGATTCACTTTTGCCCATGGTTAAACTTACCTACCTTTTGGCCCTCTTGCAGTTCTAAATGGTATTAAAACAGGCACTGTTGCAAATACACGTTTTCCTAGAGCAGCGTCACTTTCCAGATTTCCTCACAACCTAACATCATTATAAAGGTTATCTCCCCATCCTCACTATTCTTCTTCTGCTTTCACTGATGGTAGAAAAGGAGATCCATGAATGTGTTATTTGTATATATTAGCATTCCTTCAGTGGATCCTACTTGTTATGCATGCTAACATTAGTTAGTATGAATATATCTGTGATTCATAGCAATGTGGCATCCAGAGATCATACTGGTTAAAAGTGAGCAATTCAAGTGACTACCAGTGACAGCACAGGATAATTTGACTGACATACAGCAGTTAGCTGCTTCCAGGTTTGTTTGTGTAATTACTGACATACGTACTTCTTTGTAGCATGGTTATTAAAAACAATTTAAAAAAGCAAAAGTGTTATCTAATGCCTAAGGACATATTTTAAAAATAACTTGCTTAACCAGTATAAAAAATCTCTGAAAGTTTGCATAAAAAGTATAATAAGATAAACCTTTATTAGTCCCTTTAATAAAACTAACCTGAGCACCAAACTACAGTGACTCAATCATATCAGCCACAAATCTGGAGAAACCTTCAAGTCAAAGCACAGTGCAGTATGCCAGGTTCATGGAGGGCTCTGAGCTATGGCAAAAGACAACAAAACAGAAATTAATGTAAAAAATCAAACAATAACA